CTCAAGGCCGTGGCCTGTGCTGAGGCTGGTGTGACCTTGATCTCCCCCTTTGTTGGACGCATTCTCGACTGGCACAAGGCTCAGAACCCCAACAAGGAATACACTGCTGAGACTGATCCCGGGGTCGAATCCGTGACCTCAATTTACAACTACTACAAGAAGCATGGTTATAAGACCGTTGTTATGGGTGCCTCCTTCCGCAACCCGGGCGAGGTCATGGCTTTGGCTGGCTGCGTACGTTGACGATTACTCGACATGCTAGCAATTTTCTGATCTCCAGATGGTTTGAACCAACACCGCTTGACATGAGACCTTGAATGTAAGCTCACGTCGCAATCTATTGCGCATCCCATAGGACTTGCTGACCATTTCCCCTGAACTCCTCGGCAAGCTGAAGGAGGATTCCGACAGCAAGGTGCCCCAGGCTCTTTCCGTCGAGAAGGCCCAGTCAGTGGACGTGGAGAAGGTTTGTTTCCTCTTGTCTCTGCTTGGTCTGTCATGGCATGAGATAGCGTGAGCAAGAACAGGGTCGCTCATGCATTTGTTTGTGGCAACATTGTGGACGCCACTAGATTTCTTTGGATGAGAAGCAATTCCGCTGGATGCTGAACGAGGATGCCATGGCCACCGAAAAGCTTTCCGAGGGCATCCGCAAGTTTGCTGCTGATCAGGTGTGTTGCTTTTGTCACCAGGTTGACTCGGCTGTATCTATCCGCCTATGACTCAACGGTTCGAATTCGTGCTCTCACAGATCAAGCTTGAGGAGCAGATCAAGGGCCTACTCAACGAATAAACACATGCCAAGTCATGCTCGCTACCACATCTTTCTTGCCTGCCTTGCTTTTTATACGAGTGACCTCACATTGATTCGCACTGGACGTGGCTTGCAAAATTCACCAGTCATAAAGCAGTTCTATCATCGCGTATTAAAAAAGCTATACTCAATTGTTGCAAAATAAAAGAAGAGGTCTTATGTTCGTCGGGATGTGGTTAAATGTCTAGTCCAACCCTTCCGGTTACTTGACTTCGCGGGCACGCTTCGCCTTTTGTAAGCTGCCAAGA